TTTCCGTCCTATTACGCATTCCATTCCACACGCTAGTAAAAAAAACGCCACCCCACCCCGGTAAAAGTTGCTTTGTTTCTTTTTTTAATTTGCATTGAGCTGTTTTATTTCTTTACCATATATTTCTCACTTAACGGTGTTCTCTCAAGTAGAATTTCATCCTGGGACGCTGGCAAAATAGTAGATTTGGAATTATAGCGAGTGCATCGTCCAAGAACTACCACGTGCCGCATCGGCCATCTCATTTTGGTTTTGGGAAGCCGCGCATACATACAGTCCACCAAAAAAATCGATCCAGCATAATGAGGTCGAGACTGGACCTGGGAATCGAAAACGAGACCCCAATCACCGCATTATTTTTGGTCATTAGTGCAACCACTTTGCAATACTATAGCGTTTTTAAAACTCAGTTCAATAATTTTATTTTTTAATAAATTAAGTCGGTGCTTGACTACTATCTTACCTGATTGTAAGTGGTGAAATACGTAGTTTTTTTGCACATAATAATTATTACTAAAAACAATGAAAGACGCTGCGTAAATTTCAAGTAATGCTGAAAACATGCTTGACTTCTTGAAGAGCATTCAACGTACGCGAAGGAAGTGAGCTGTCTTTTGTTTTCCGAAATTTCACCGCCAAAAACCTTGACGTGTTCTTGTCTTTTGTTTTCCGAAATTTCACCCCGAAAAACCTTGACGTGTTCTTTCTATAACTCTCTGGACTTGTAGCTCTTTACAACAATGGCATTAGATGCATACCAAATACCAATTCTGTGTTATGGTAGCAGCAGGGTATATATTATTTAGGGTTGATTAGCCTGGCTGCTAAATATGGGAAATATAATTAACGATAAGTAGAAATACAGTTTAAGAGATAGTTCATTCTAGAATTCTAACTACAATATATAATTGTTAACTAAAGTCACTTAATACGTTAGTAATATCATGTACTTTATTAACTGCATAAAATATCACAAATCTAAACAAGTTTATATATATCCATAATAATAACAATGTTCATTTTAGACATATAGAATATCAAGGTATAACAATAATTATTATTACTCACAATTATTTATCTTCCGTGTACGTATTTTCTACCCAACAGTTTTAGAAAATTTATTCGGGTATTTTTAACTTCTGATGACGAAAACCAAAAAAATCATTTAGATGAATTTTACATGAAATACCTATAAATATCAATAATTTAGGTCATAATCTACTATAAAAAATATGCACCGAGCTTACGACTTTTTAGTTTCACTAGAAATACCTTTTAAAATCTCGCACTTCCATGGTAATGACACTGGATCCAGGGAAATGACTTTCATACAATTTCTTTTACCATGGAAAAGACTTCACACCATAGACATGACATTCCATATATGCTTTATAAAAGATGAAGTCACAAATTATATTATCCAAAGAAATTATGATACACAATGATAAATATATTGGATTTATTTTAATCAAAACAAGCAAAAGTTCGAAAAATCAGCTTTAATTGCTTTGAATTTGACTTTAAAGCTAATTATACAGGGGTATTTTTAGTTTAGTGTGGACAGTTGGGAATGATACTACCCGTCTATACGAACAACTTTAATTGTGAGATCAAGTCCGAAATCGCGTAAAAAGATCTGCTGCTCCATACATTTGGGTCGAGTAGATAGAAACATTATCTATGGAATTCACACTTAGTTCCATAGTAAAAGTTTTATGTACTGATCCAGTCCAAACTAAATTACATATAACCCTGTATATTTTGTAATCGTAATTGCTAAAGAGATCAAAAACATTACAATTATGGCACCATCTAATTTCAGCCCCAGTAATAGCTTAACATTATAATAAAAATAAAGTTTAAATAAAATGATAATCAGAAAATATTGAAGTCTTCACTCTCACTGTCAAGTACCTCATCCTCGTGTTTTTCCGCCTTACTATTCGGTTCCAAATCCTCCTGTTCTTCGGTCTCACTACCGCGTTCCCTATCCTCCAGTTCTTCAGTCTCGCTATCCAGTTCATTATACTTCTGTTCTTCAGTCTCACTATCAAGTTCCTCCTTCTCCTGTTCTTCACTCTCACTGTCAAGTACCTCATCCTCGTGTCCTTCCGCCTTACTATTCGGTTCCATATCCTCCTGTTCTTCAGCCTCACTATTCTGTCCCCTATCCTCCAGTTCTTCACTCTCACTTTCCAGTTCATTATCCTCCTCTCCTTCAGTCTCACTAGCCAGTTCTTCCTCCTCCTGTTCTTCGCTATCTCTCTCATCTGTTTCTTCCCGCCGATCTAAGTTTTCCTCGTTTACTTCAACCGGCGGCGTTTCAGTTTCCGATTCCAGTTCAAGACTTTCAAAAATTTTCAATGGGTTAGAAAATTCCACATAACTGTCGGGCAACGAGTAGTGTAAACACCGTTCTCCGGAGGCGCATGTTAGGCATGTTAATTTTCGTAAAAATATTTTTTGCGCCATGTGCGAGTCCCATGTCATTTGATGAACTTTTGTAATTCCAGGAACACTGTTGATTTTTCGTTGCAATAGCTTATTAAGTTCTTCAATTTGTTTCGTAGTTACGGTTGAAATTATGACATTGGTAGTGTTTTCTCTAATACACCTCATAAGTGTATTGAAATCAGGTATATCTGACCCTTGAGCAACAATACGATCTGCGGTACGCTTGATTACAGCACCCACTCCATCCATGGGCCCTTTGCCATGGCCCGCTTCGCAGAAGTTCCACGTCACAGTTTTTAAACTGTATCTCTTTGCCAAGTATTGAGTATACAGATAGAACATGTATCTGTTCTGTGCACTAGGACCGTCGCTTAAAATTTGCAATTTCTGAATTGTATGTGACGATACAATTAGATCTAGTATCTCTTGAAGATGAGCACATATTGCACTTGCATCGTGGCGTAAATTCTCGGAAAATGTGCAAAATGAACAACTATTAACTTTTTGCGTATCTGGCATCTATAGTAATAAACACCAGTATGAAGACTGACTTGCTGTCTAGAAGCACCGAAATGGACTGACTGAATCTCAGTCACATATTTACAGCAATAATTTTCGGAAAAAATCTATCTGCATAAAGATTTCTCCATCAACAAGGTTGTTCTTCATTAAAGTGGTTTGTTTGTATTGATGAGAAATATTAAATTGATGCTCTAGAAATATTTTTAAATCTTTTAAGAACGATTCTACTAGCTCTTTTCTTTTAACTGTTTTCTGCCCTTTTACTGTTCGTCTAATTTCCTTTTCTTTTCCTTTAATCAATCGCTTTTCTTTTATGACACACCACGTTTTGTATGTAGTGGTTTCCGAACCATCAAACGATTGTACTTCTGGTGATTTATTCAGGCAAACATGACACTTACGTAAGATGCAAGCCTCCTTATTGATATCACAAACCATGCTTTTGCACAAGTCTGTTAAGTTTGTAGAGTTAAAAATTCTCAAGTTTTTCAAATTATCGAACTTGAGTTGCATATTTTCATGTGTAACACACAAACATGTATCCCTTTCAGAAACTTGACGAGAAACGATCCAAAAAGGACGCATTCGGCAAAACGTTGCAAGACTAAGTTTCACCTTGTTTTCGATTTGAAATTTGGCATGGAGATTAGTGAGTGTATCACACAAGTAACGTTTTTGTTTTTCATTTTGTTCTTGGTAATGACATCTTTTTTCCCGGACACTGCTTACTGTTGTCATCACGTTCTAAGAAGGCAATAATTTTTGAAAGAAAGAAAGAAAAAACGTTTATTCACGGTCTAATCACAATAGATATAAAACAAAGCAAGAAATTGGAATTAAACAGAAAATAAAACAATATTAAATTAACAAAAATGTAAAAATAATATAAAATGAGTCTGTGTAGCAGCATAAGACCGTGAAATGGACAGGACTCAGTAAAAATCGAGATACAGAAACACGAATTGCTCTGATCCCGACACTGGTTTTCAGTCCGGCCCGCACTCCGACGTAACTCGGACGGCTGCCTCAATGCACATGCTATAATGCGACGCGGAGTATATAAAAAAATATATGCTTTTAAATTTCAATTCACATAAATAGTGGATATCATTAGTCTAATGAAGGTAAGTACAAAATAGAATTAACCTTCTCCTTCTAAATATATCAATTTTATTTATTAAGAATGCGGAATAAACGTTGGCTAAAGAATAAAGGTAAGAAAATGATTGTCAGAAAAAGTAAATTTATTATATAAATATTTAAATAAAATAGTTTTATATATTATATAAAGTGAAAATTAAAAATATCTACATAATTTATGGGACTGAGATTACTGACGTGTTGAAAGAACTTAACCTCCTACCAGTTTATTTTATAGATCGGTATTTTTTTGTTCCGAAAGTAAGTGTAACCTGTATTTGATTTTAAACCCACTAATTGTTTTCAGGTCACGCAGTGGAGGCGGGAGGTTATTCCAACATTTAGTGGCATTATATTTAAAACTACCTCTGAAAGCGGCCGACCGGTAGAAAGGATATACTAACTTGTAATTGGATGATCTGGTATTATACTGCTTATTTTGATCTTTAGACCAAATCAACTTATTATATAAATATAATGGTTCTTTATTTTTAATAACTCCAAACAGAAGTGAGGCAAAGTGTAGTCGCCTGCGACAGTCCATTTTTAAAATATTAGCGTTATTAATGAAAGGGGTTACATGTGCACGTGGTGGTACATTGAAACAAAAGCGTGCACAGGCATTCTGTACCCGTTGTATTATTTGCTGTGTTCGAGATAATAGTCGTGGGCCTATGAGAGAATCCGCGTAATTGAATTTTGAAAGCACGATAGACTCGCAGAGATGTATACGTAAGGTGACACTTAGGTCACCTTACGTATACATCTCTGCGAGTCTATATATATATTTTTTGAATGCAACCGTTTAAGTTTTTTTGTAACAATCTCTTTAGTAGCAAGTTTCTTCGGTGCACTAGAAAGATCCTGAATTTTATGGTTGGCCCTCAATAATTGTACCCGTAATGCGTGAATTTTTTTTCCATTGATTTGATTACAGTTGCCTGCCTTTTTATTTTGAGATTGGACTCCTCACGTCGTTTTCGGACATATCGAAGACCAGCTACTTTTTGCCTACTTAAATTAGAGCTATGAGAAGGTGTGTGACATTCTTCTCTGGAGAACGACGATCCAGGACTAACAAACGACCTTCTGGAAATCGAAGAAGCAGGAGACAAAGGTTGAGAAAGGGAAGACACATTTTGTTGAAAATAAGGGCTCGCTACGTTTTGGTCATCAGCAATGGAATCCGGAGTATTCTCTCGCAAATTTTGTAGTAGTCGCTCATTGCGTTTTTTATTCTGTCTACTCCTAGCTTTACGTTCTCGCCATTCACGTTGCTTAGCACGCCGTTCTCTTGGAGTCATTTCGGACACTAGTTTTACCTGTTTTTTTGCGTCGTTTTTCTGCATAACGCTGGTTATCTTTTTTTTACTGGCTTCATACAAGTCTGGGTCAGCTTTAATACGAGCTCTTCGTCTTCGTTCGCATTCTCTCTTTTGTTTACGTATTTCTTCTGCTGTCTTTGGTCTTTTATTTCTCGCCATCTAAAAAAAAATATAATTAAACGTGTATTAAGAAGCATTTTGTGGATGTATATGTCTGTAATAAACAAAGAAAGAAGCTAAAGAAATAAGTCCCGTAATCATTTCAAGTTAAAGTTCACATCCCTGGATCTGAGGTCATTTCCATGGAAAAAAATATCCACGTAATCAATGGAAGTGACATCCATGGAAAGGAAATATTTTAATTAAAATGCAGAAAACTAACCTCAAAAATCTTGTTTTCACAACCTATTTTGGCCATCGTTTATGGACCATCAAACCTACAAAAACAGCAATACAAAATGTAAATTAGACAAATATACTTGCTTGTCAAAACAACCACAGTAGTGACTAGTATGCTTGACGAGTTTTAAATCAGTAATTTAATTGCTTTTTCACGCTAAACGTAATGCAGCCGGTAGGAAATTGACAACTAATTATGATTATGACAGGTGTCGCCTTGTCTATGCTCAGATAAATTCGGATACACACACGTTTTATTATAAGTGAAAACTTATTGTGACCTGCATCCATGGAAGTGAAAAAAAAATCAGTCACATTTTGAAATTAGGTTTTTTTGTTCTTTTTTTTATCATTTAGTTATAAAGTTATTCGCATGTATGGGTCAGTATATATTAGAGCTTACGATAATATCCTACATTTAAGAAAATTTATGGAAAATAACGCGAAAAAATATATTATATCTGTAAATTTGCTTCAATCACATCCACGGAAAAGACATATTCATGCTTATTTTTTTATATTTCAAATAATATATAGAATAAAATGAGTATGTTTTCGTGTAGACTTCACCAGAATAGGTAACATAACCTTGATAAATATATCAAATCCATGTGCGTTATGTTATCATAGAAATAAATCTCAGTCACAAATATTTTTACTTAAAATGAGAAATACCCATTCAGTAATCTATGCCGCCGCTCAAGCCGATGACATCTGTCTTTTATAGTCTTGTAATTTAACAGTGCTAAACTACATATGGCGTTTCTCGTGTGGTTTCCGTTAAAAGTTTATTAAAAACTTTTTTAACATTGGATATAAAGCCGTAATTTTTTACATTATAAAACATTATTTATATTTCTTTTAATTATCTTAAACAGTGTTACATTCTAGTTATAGATATAAGCAAAAATAAATAACTAGAAATAATCTAAAACATTGACAGCAGACTTATAGTATGAAAATAATTAATTATCCACAATGTTAGTTACAACAATATAAATTACTAAAGTATGCTAATATAATTTTAGATAAAAAGGCATATTTATTCCTCACGAGAAAAGCCACACATGAAGCCATATTTTATTTATCGTTACGGGTGCAATCAACAACTGCTGTCACCAAAACCTGTTGACATACATGGGAAAATTTTAATCATAAGTTCGGAGTTTTTTTAATTACACAGCTCAGCTTGAGTTGGAGGTTTGATGTAAATGTTTAATATTTGGTTGCAATTTTCATAAATAAACAAGAATAAACCTAAATTATGATGGGTATTTTTGCATTACTGAGGAAACCTATTGATATTTTTTTAAATAAATTAAAATTTGGCGGTCGTGTGGTAGCATCTTAAGAAAACATGTTATCCGATTTCATTCCGTAAGTGTCGTAGGAGCCAACTATGGGAGGCCTAAAAATGTTATAGCTTTCAATAAATGGTGCTATAACCATCTGGATTACGTTAGACAAAAATACCAAAAAAATATTATTATAAAATATCCAGACTCCGACGGGGAGCTGCTGCAGCATCAAAGTTGCGAGATATCTCTTACTGCGATGTATGCTGGATCAAATGTCTGTAGTGGATATTAAGGAATTGATAAATATGTATATAAGAAGAAACAATCTTGGAGCTATTTTTTATAGAATAAGTGTGACAAAAAAGACACAGTCCATTTGATGGTAAGTGTATGCTTATATACATATATTTACGATTGAGAATTTAAATGCAGTTGCATTAAAACCTATAAGGGCTGAGATGGAATGCCTCATTAGCAGGTAAAGATGTTTCCGCTTCTCTATACTCACGATACGACACACAGCATTATGCCGCTAGCTTACGCTAGAATTTGATTAAAGCGTAGTCGTTCCCCTATCAAGCCAAACCATTCGTGCCACAATGATCTGAGTGTAGCTTTACTTTAAAAATTTAAAATTATGAAGGATACTACTTATTTAACACATTGTAATGAGTTTTTGGATCAATTTAGATCCAGAACTTTTTTATGTGTGCTTCATAATACATTACAGTGGACTGTTAGATGTCGGTGAAAAAGTAATTTATAAACCATATAAACTACATAGCTTTGTTATGCTATTTTGTTGGCTAAGTAACTTCAAGTTGCAACGACTGCAGCTTATAAAGTGAGAGCGCTGCACTGCATTATTCATTTCACACAGTGTTACTTCGAGGACATAACCATTACAAATCTAATTGTGTGGTGCAGGTACTGTGTGAATTAAATTCTATGTAAACTGCATTTATTATACTTTGAACTTCTTATTTGCCATGTGGTGGGGGCGAAAGAGAATCCATCACTATATTTCGTCCCATGGGTGTCGTATGGAGTCGAAACAAGACCAGACGAGCAGAGAGACTATGATATATGGCAGAAAAATTTTCGTTTGGTTTTCGTTAGATAACTATAACCATCTCGTGTGCGTCGAAGTGAAATGCTCAAACCGGAGACGGGCAGCAGCATTAAAGGTGCGTAGCGTCTGATACTGCGATCATTAATCTGCATTACAAGCAAGACAGTTATGGCCAATCCTCCACAGAACAGAATGGACTCATTTTCGGACCCACTGACGGAGATCAAGAAGAAGAAGTAAAAGATTTTCATCCGGTAAAGGAAGGCAAAATTTATATTTTATTTAGTAAAAACAACAAAATAAATATTATAATGTTAGGAATATTTATATATCGATATTATAAAAGAAAATAACATACTTAAATCCTATTAGTTGTTAATACAATAATACTTCACCTAACACACAAAAATTACGTAAGAAATAGAAATAAAGAGATATCGTCGCCCAATGGTTAAATAATTTTATTAGTTGGCGGGCTGGGCTGTTAATAAGTCGTCGGGACTAAATTGGAAGCCTAGGCCAATCGTCGGATAAACGCGTTCTGCCCTTTCATTAAACGTTCAGCAGGTATATGTTCAACGAGCCGTAGTATCTCATAGGGAAAAGCTTAATAGCGTTCGACGCAATTTATCATTTTATTAAATCGACTACCATTTTGATAAACGCAATTATCGAATATGCCCGCTGATCATATAATTGGCCATTTATAAGCAGCTAGTTAATGATTTCCATAAGTTTTTTACTATGTGTCAAATTTATATAATGTGTCAAATTTATATAGTATTTTATTAAAAATTGCGGCATTCGGTGGCCCTTTTGTCTTCCCAGCCGCACTACCCATTGATATTACTAGATATATATTTTCGCATTTTGAAAATTCTAATAGAAATCTTTCTAATAAATGATCTTTCGGTTTGTGTCAGCTGTTTTCAAAGGGCTGACTTTCAACCAGCCAACTCATTAATCGTTAAATGCTAAAAGGCCTTGGCGTCCCAATTAGTGTCGATGTATATATAATTAGCAGAATAACCTCCAACATACTGGCTAATTTCCCCACCCGGCAATGATAATGATATGAGGTTATTATAAAAGAAATTAAATATAAAGGTTCGTAGAGCAAAATTATAAGTCCAATAGTATAAGAATTTCCTCAACCTAATTTTAATAGGATAAGCGTGACAAGCGTGAATACGGTATATCCGGTGTAGAATGGTTGCATTGATCCATAGACATACATCTATAACTATCCTCCATTAAAAATCTATATGCAATCGCGTTATCACCACCCTGTAGGCTAAAACGGAATATCTCGTTTTCAGTAAAAAAAGTTATCCGTTTATATGTACTCACCGTACGAAACACAACAATATTAAGCTCTTTAACGATAGTATTCCGTGAGTGCATGGTCATACTTCGGTTGGGCTGATCCATTTAGTATTACAACTGTAATATAGCTACAGCGCAATGTGTTTTTACCGTATATGAAATGTTGGAAATTAAAAAAAATCTAAATATTTTCATCATTTTACGATAAAATCCGCAAAATGTTTTATTCTTTTATTTATTTATTAATTTTAGGAAGGCTTGGAGAAAAAATTGCTAGTTACGAGCTTCCACATATTACTTTCATCCAACTTTATACAAATTTAAAATGCTCCAGAAAATAATTTAACTAATCACAAAAACAATAACAAAAAATGCAAAACCATTAACGAGAAAAATAACGCATAATTTATCTTGCTGTGAGACCAAGGAGCTTTTAACTAGGGTCATGCAAGTCACGGCTGTGAGTGAAAAATTCTGTGTTTATCACTTTTTTTACACATTTAGAACTAGTAGAAAACAGGTCAATATCTACTACAGACGAAAACTTATTAAATTCCACTGCGCTACGTAGAAAGAAAGAATTTCTTCTACAATTCGTTGAAGCAAGATATATATATATATATATATTTCGAAACAAAAATACAGTATATATACATATATATATATACAATGTATAAACATTTCACGAAAGTTTTTGCTATAGGGTCGTTGTCTGAATCATTATGTGAGTAGTAGCTCAGAAGGATCAATAGATCCATTTACTATATTAAATGAAAAACAACTATCATTGACTTAACGTCTATATTCCAACGGCAAAAAATATATCTCCTACATCTTTCAAGATAATTGGCTGAAATTTTTGTGTCGTGAAGTCGAGGTATCTCAGTACGAGATATATAAACTTTATATTGTGGGTTACGTTATGTATACTTGGGTCGCATATTCTAAATAGCATAATATGAGCAATATAAAATCTTAGTAGATTTAGGAGAACGGAAGTAGGCTGAAGTTCTTAAAATGAAACCAAACCTTGAATGCTTTGTTGACAATATATTCAATGTGTC